CAGGTACAGGTAATTGGATCATGGGGGTGGTTCCCCCACACTGGTCTCATGGTAGTGAGTGAGTTCTCATGAGATATGATGGTTCTGTAAGTGCCTGCATTTCCCCTGCCTGCATTTCCCCTGCCTGCATTTCCCCTGCCTGCTGCCCTGTGAAGAAGGTGCCTTGCTCCCCCTTCACCTTCCACCATGATTGTAAGTTTCCTGGGAATTCCTCAGCCATGCTGAACTGTGAGTCAATTGAACCTCTTTCTTTTATAAATTACCCAATCTTGGGAAGCTCTTTACTGCAGTGTGAAAACAGACTAATATATTATCAAAATAAATTTGATCAAACTGATAATAGCAAAAACCAGACAATCAAGTTCTATATGAAAAAAATCATAGATATTTTAAAGTTATATAACAGAACAGGAAATTGAGGAAAAAATATAAAAACAAGAAATTAGTATTCAATAGACCAATCAAAAAATCAACATATCATATGAATGTGCAATTTACAGAAAACTCAAATGACTAGTCAACAAATGAAAAAAGAATCAACCTTAGTTGTAATGAGGAAAATACAAATAGAGAAGGTAACCACTAATCACCCTCACCCATGCCCTCATGCATCAAATTGGCAAAAGAAAAAAAAAGCCTGAAAACATCAATTCCTGGTAAAGGGAAATTGGTGGTTTTTAACACTGCTAGTAGGGGTATATTGGGCTAGTGGTGAGGTCGGCAGGGGGCATTTTTTTAGAATCTAGATTTATTTTTAATATAGAATACATATATCCTGTAACTCTATAGTTCTGCCTCTCAGTATCTTCCTGAGGGAACACTCTGCTTACGTGTACAAAGAATCAAGTCGAAGGATGTTCCCTGGAGCATAGCTGGAAATATAAAAAAAAGTTTGTCAATAGGAGGTAGGCTAAATCAAGCCTATTACATCAGTACATGAACCACACTACAGGTGTCAACATGAAAGTATCTTTAGGGCACATGAGAATATTAATGTGTTATAGTGTGATTAAACAATACTAGCAGGAAAAAGGTCTCATGGGCAGAAAACTGTCCAGAAGGAAAACTGGCTATGGCCATGAGGGCTCTCAGGAGCTCAGGACCTGGGAGGGAGGGAACAGGGCACTCATTTCTACTTTAAGGCCCCATGAAACTCGTTCTCCCTTCTCACATAATAAGCAATACTCCAAGCATCATTTTCTACTGAAACTATTAAATAAGATACAGGAAGTGATGGGGCCTGGGCTCCAGCATGGAAGCAGATGCAAGTAAGAGAAGAGTAGAAAGGTGCACTTTGGCTGGCAGGTGACGTGATGGGGGCTGCAGAATCCATGGATGCTGTGCTGGCACAAACCCGGGAGAAAGGTAGGGCTAGTTTTGAGGTGAAGCTTTGCCATTCTCTTCAAGTGTGGGCTTTAGGAAGTCACTAAACCCCTGTGAATTTACTTCCCCACCTATACACAGAAAAGCTATCATATATTTATTCGAAGTTTGTTAAGTTGAAATAAACCTAAATAAAAATATTATACCTATCTGTCTGCCTGTCTGACCACCTATCATCCATCTTCAATCTATATTCTATCTCTCCCTTTCTTGTTCCACCTACCTACCTACCTACCTATATATCTACCTATATATCTACATATATCCTACCTATATATCTTTTGATCTATATTTTGTACTGTCTGTATCTAATCATTTTTTCTCATTGTCAGTCTGTCTTTCTCTTTCCTGATTTTCTCTCTCTCCTTCTGTTGGTCATGTGTCTGTTTTACTATTATCTATGTAGATGTCTAACTATCCATGTTTCTGTCTTTCTTTCTGCCATCCTATTTCTACCTGTCTCCATCCATCTATCCATCCATCCATCCATCCATCCATCCACCCACCCACCCACCCACCTACCTATGTATGTTTCTGGGTGTGCATGTATCTTTCTGTCAGTATGTCTGTAGGCTTTGTGCCATCTATCTATCTATCTATCTATCTATCTATCTATCTATCTACCTACCTACCTACCTACCTACCTATGCTGGAAACTGTTTTTCTGTCTGTCCATCTACAAGGACCTCAATGTTTTTCAACCTTTGTCTGTATGTCTTTCAACCTATCTTGTTTGTCTGCATATCTATCCATATGCCTATGAATGCATCTATCTGATTATCCACAACCTATCTGAATGTCTGTCTATATCTCTCTCTCCCTCCTTTCCTTTCTCCCTCTGCACCTTTCTGTCTGACTCTGTTTCACTGTCTAATGTCTAATTTCTTCCTGACAGTTTAATTTCTGCCTTCATCCTGCTTGACATAGAGCAGAGCTTCACTGACTGCTAGTTTACTTCCTGCTTTTCAGTTCTTTTCACTCCTTCATTGCTCCATTCCTACAATCAGCTACCATTAACTGGGCCATTGCTCTGTGTTATGTGCTAGGGATACAACCTAAAATCAGGCAGGGTCTCTGCCTTCTAAGAGTATTTGGGCTGCTGGCCTGAAAAGCAAATTAATGAGGCAGTTATATCACATGATGCTCAGAACTATGAGAGACAAGATGGTGTCAGGCACAAAGGAAGGGCACCAATGCTAGACTGGAGTAGAGGAGAGAGTGACAGAGGCTCTGAGGAGTGACCTCTCATCTGAAAACCACGGAGGACTGGGGATTTTTCAAAGAAGTAGAAGGCTGAGCTCCATGTAATTGGGGAAGGGTATGGACAATGGGTGCAGAACCAGGAAAAGAGGAAACAGGGTGCATGTAGACTTGGAGAACAGAGCCAGGACACACTCAAGAATTCAAGCTAAGGAATTGACAAGATTCAGATGAGAGAGGCCAAAGTTGACCTAAATAAATAGAGAGATGTACTATTTTTATGGATTGTAAGATATACCACAGTCAATATGTCAAGTGTCGTCACATTGATCTATAAATTCAATGCAATCCCAGTCAACATTCCAGCAGGTTTCTTCGTAGGCATAGAGAAGCTGATTCTAAATTTATATGGAAAGATAAAGAAACGAGATTAGTCGAAACAACACTGAAAAAGAAAAAAGTCAGAGGATTCACACACTTGATTTTAAGATGCATTTAAGATGCACCTCCTGTGGCCAAGACAGTGTAGTATTGGGATAGTAAAGGATTGACACGTTTTATTACTAAAACGAAAAACAGACAACTGATTTTTGACAAAGATATGAAGACAATCCAAGAGAGAAAAAATAGACTTTCAAAAAAATGATGCTAGAGCAAATGGATTTCTACAAAGTGAACTCGATCTACGTCTTCTACCACATATAAAAACTAACTCTGAATGGATCATAAACTATGTGTGCCTGTATGCATAGGTGTCCGTGTGTGAGCATGTGCATGCATATGCTTATGTGTGTGTGCGTGTCCATGTGAGTGTGCATGTTTAACAGTGTGCTCGTGACTTCTGTATGCATGCTTGTGTTGAGCGTGTGTGAATACATATGCATATTTGCATGAGCATGTGCGTGTGAATGTATGTGCACATTTGCATAACTGTGTGACAGTCTATGTATTAAAAAGGGAGACAGGGAAGGGTGTCTAAGGGACATGTAGAAAGGAATTCCAGTGGGCTGGTTGTTTATACTTGGAAGTTTCCCGCCCACTTAGAGTAAGTGAAACTAAGAGAATAGGCGCAGTGGCTCTTTCAATTAAGAAAAAGGAATTTAGATTTTACAAACACAGAAGAATTTCTGCTTTTGGGATCTCTTATTGGCTCATATTTGTGGACCATTTACACATGTCAGTGACTGGTAAAATTCAGTATTTTATTTTAGAGTCTACAACTTTGCCCAAACAAATAAACATAAAGGCAATAAATATCTGTCATCCTGTATGGCTTTGAACTTTAAAAATAGGTAATGTTGAGATAGGTGGATTCTGAAGAACCCACCCAGCTTTGTATAAAACCCTGTCAACTTTATGACCTAATAGATTAATCTACTAATTGTTTCTTCTTTCGTTTCTCGGGTTTTCATTTTTAGTCAGTAGAAACACTTATACAAATACAAATACATGCAGGCATTCCAAAAAATCCTGGGGACGATTTATGTCTGGTCTCTGGTTCTCAATGCTTCAGTTTTGAAATGAGGATTGCGGTTCCTATTTTAATAAGGTTGTGGTGGTGATTACATAGCATAGTGCCTGGCATACAAAAAGTACCAAGAAAAGGACAGGTACCCCATAAATATATATACCCACTTAAATACCCACAGATATCTAAAAAACTATACTACGTATGATCATGATTATATTGTTATTTATTTGTAATATATTCTTAGATTAATAACCTTATAAACCCAATAAAACCATCTGGAGTTCTATTCCTTCAGAAGATTTGCTTTTGGTACTTTTTATATCAAAAGAACATATAGTTTTTAAAAGTTTGGTTCTGTGTTGAAACTGATGACAGTGTGAAGTCCAAGTTTATAGGATCAGCTGTTTTGAGATGGGAAAGAAACGGCATTCTTAAGCAGAAAATTTATCTACACTCCCCCATGGAAAAACAGTAAAACTAATTTCATTCCAACAGTAAGCACTGGCTTAATATCAGATAAGAAGCCCTGCAGCCCTGGATGAGGTAGCCACAGCAAGTGTGAAGTAAGTAACTGCAACAAGGAAAACTGTTTCGCTACTGACCAAGGGTGGAGTATCTTTCTGAACTGCACATTGTCCCCACAAATAAGGTGCCTCTAGTTTCAGCCTCCCTTATCAATGGCTAAGGATGCACTCACAGTTGCAGAGAATGGGAACTCAGATGGAGGATAAAGAAAGGAAGATTAATAAAGAATAGGAAAAGGGGAATAGAGGAGAAAAAGAGAGATAAGAGAAGCAGGGAAAGATGAAAGACAGCTGCACTAAGCACATATCCAAGTTCAATCAACACTATACATTTTGTGGATGCTGTATCAGTGACCTATTGCTGTGAAATAATGACTCCCAAATTTATGAACTTAAACCAACAATTATATTCATAATCTCACCATTTCTGTGAGGCAGGAATCAGAGTGCAGTTTAGCTCAAGGTCTCTCACAAGGCTTCAACCAAAATGTGAGTTGAGCCTGTAGTCTCATCTGAAGACTCAAATGAGGAAGCATTTGCTTCCAGGCTTGCTCATGTGATTGTTTGCAGAATTGTTTTTGATGGCTATTAAACTAAGAACCTCAGTTCCTTGCCATGTGGGCCTTTCCATAGGTGAGATCATAAAATCAGAGTTGTTTCATCAGAGCAACCTCATAGAAGAGTCAGAGAGAGCCTGAGCAAGACAGAAGTTACCATGTTTCCAAGGTCTTGGAAATGACACCTGTCACTTCTGCTGTACTTGTTTATTAACAGCAAGTCACTATGTCCAACCCACACCCAAGGGCAGGGGACAGCATAAGGATGTGATGTCAGGAGGCAGGAATGGTTGGGAGCTGTGTAAGAAGCTCCTACACAGGCCCTTGCAGTGTCTACACCAGAGTTCAAGTGCATTGTGTAGGCGAAAATGCGGTACCTTCACACTGTGCTACGTGACCACTCTCAACTTGTCAGTCACCATATTTTAGCTGATTGTTATGGAAACACTGAGTCTAAACTTGAAAAAGGGAAAAATGATTTCTGGAATCTGTGATATTCTTCTAGAATGCTAATAAGTCTGACTGATCTCATTCTGAAGCTCTTGAGCAGTGTCACAAATGTTTATCTAATCATTCACAATTGGTTAAAGAGGGTTTATAGTCCTGTGAAGTTAGCACGCAGAGTTGATAGCTTATGACTTTTACTGCCTAGTAAACAAGCTAACTCCAAATTTGGCATTTTAAAAAATTGCTTTGTAGAGTTTTGCCTTAACTTAGCATCTCTTTTCTTCATTTTTTTCCCAATTGACTTTATAAATCCCAGTCACCAAATGCTTGTGGAGGCAGATTATTTGTCTTTTTGCTGGTTCCCTTCTTAATGAATTAAATAAAGCTTTGGAACAGGGTAACAGATGATTTTGCCTGAGAATCAAACTTTTGCATGCTCTGGGAGTAAGCACGAGGTACACAGGGAATTCGGCAAAGCGCTGACCACGGATGCTAATAGACACTGGGCTCCTGGCTTTATCCTGACTGGCTGACCCACCTGCACACACTTATGGGGCACAACGTCTGTGTGGATAGTAAACCCCAGGAGATTTAAGAACTGCCCTGAGGGAGTGTGCTCAAGCCTTTTGTAAATTTATACTTATGCCATCTCATGGATCTGTGTCTCTGTCCACGGCTCAGCATCAGGGCTTGGAAGAGGAAGCCCCAAAACCAAGTTCTGAGATGAGAGTTTCCTGGCTGGTGATGCTGAGGATAAGGGAGCACATACTGCCAGGCTGCTGCTGTGCAGGAGGGAACAGGAAGAGAGGGAGACACAGGGAGGGCCTACCCAGGGCTGTGGAGGAGGAGGGGGTTTTTCTCCCTAGTGTGGCTGAGCCCCTACAAGCCTCCTGGGAGTGGGCCTCTCTGCAGGGGCTTTGCCTTGGCTTCCAGCCACCTCCATTTGGTTCTCCAGAACCCAGGCCAGGAGCATGGAGCTCACTCAAGACCAGATAGCTCAGGTTTCCAAGTGAACATACATTCCACAGGATACGCTTTGGGAAAGAAAAAAGGTAGCCCTGATATTTCCATCCACACACTCAAGTGCAACTCAGTGATTTCCTTGGTGCTGAGGCAGAACCAGAGGTCTGATTTTCCCCTGCACTTCATTTGTCCCATAACCTTTGTGTTTGCTCCTGGGAAAACAGAAAAGCCATGGTCTCATCCCCAAGGAGCAGATCCAGGGGATGAGGAGACAAGCAAGGATTCTTGGCATGTGAAGGAAAAAAGAGGGGTGGCAAGGCTTCAGGGAAGCCTGGGGCTGTAGCCTACCAGAAGCGTCCTCTAGTCCTGGCAAACCCAGGCTGGCTGGGTTGATATCACCCAAGAAGGCAGGGGACCCCACAGGACCATCCCCTCAAGCTCAGTCTGACAAGAGGCCGACAGAAAGCATACCATCTGGATGCAGGATGCATAGCAGTCTTCTCTGTGAGCACCAGCTCTCATCTGCTTTTAAGAGTTGTGGGGAAGAAAACGAAGCAAGTAACCTTTTCCGAGGAAGTACTTTTAAGATATTAACATGTTTTCCAACAGCAGTATTTCTGAAGACTCAGTCTAATTCACATTCATGTGCAGCTTCTAAAACAACCTATATTTTCACAAACGATTTTCTTGGTAAAAATTTTCAAAACATTCTCAAGGAAGATGTGTTCTGTGGCAATGGGATGCCGATAAAACTAAAGGGACTTGATCTAAAAAGAAAAAAAACCACACACATGCACACACACACACACACATACACACACACATATACACATATATACACAAAAATACACACACATATACACACATACACACACATATACACACATACACACATGCACACACATACACACATATACACACATACACACATATATACACACATACACACACACATACACATACACACATATACACACATACACACACATACACACATATACACATATGCACACACATACACACATACAGATACACACACACACTTTTCAAATAACAAGTCTGACTGGTTACTGGTGACTGAAAGGCAAACCTGACGGAGACCAGGGCGCTGCAGGCCTACTGAGGGGAGGCAGTTACGGGTGACCGAGAGGGTAAGGAGGAAGCAGACGGAGGAGTGCGTATAGGGGCAGTGTTTGCTGATGAATCCTTCCTGGCGTGGTGGTTTCATTCTCTATGCAACCTTTTAACTACAGGGACACAGAGCATGGGGCCTCTGTGCTGTCATTCAGATTTATTAGCATTTTTGCTAAAGGTCATATAAAAGATCTCAGGAATAAAAGCAGTGTCCCGTGGCTCTTGCCTGTCTTTCCTGTGTCTGCTAATAATTAACAGCTATTGCTTGGCAAGGCCAGCCACAGGCTCCACCCTCTGCCATGTGCCTCCTGCGATGGTCACACCCAGTCTCATAATTGTAATCCTAAGGACACTGGAGGTTTGTGAGGAGAAATGTCTGCTCGCGGTCACCCGGTTGGTGTGACAGGGATGAGATGCACACCTAGATGCTTATCTGGATGGTGTAACTCCAGCGTCCTCCTCTTGACCACCTCAGTATATGCTCCCTTGTGTGAGGACCTCACAACCACAGAAAATGTGAAACACGAAGGACTATGTGACAAAGAAAGTCTGAGGTCCCAAACAACTAATAGGTTAAAAATCATAATACAACAATCAAAGGATGCTAAGAGCCCTGGATGGAAATTAGCCAGGGCAAAGAACACTCACAGGGCTTCAGACTTTGCTCCGTTGCTTACTGGTGAAAGCCAAAGAATGTAAAAAGTAACTTTATAAAGGGAGCTCTTGCAGAAACGACCTTATCCCAGTGAACAAACTTACCATCATGTGCCATGGGGTGCCCACTGATGGGCTGGAAAGAGAAATGGAGGAAATGTCTATCTAAACCTAAGTAGGAGGAAACAATCAGGCAAGTCCAGCACTCCACAAAACAACTGGCTCAGACTCTTCAGAGACATCAACATCACAGAAGAGAAAAATGAAAGCGGGGCTTTGGTTTAGATAAAAAGAGACATAACTGAATTCAGTGAGTGATGCTTAATTGAACACCAGACAGGGGAAGACAGCTATGATGACTATTTGGGGTCAACGAGGGGTATCTGGATAAGGACAACATATTTGGATAATACCACTTTATCAATATTAAGTTTCACTGTGGTAACGGTGCTATACTTTTGTAGAAGGCAGCCAAAGCATGTCATGATGTCAGCAACTTACTCTCAAATGATTCAGACGAAAAGAATCAAACACACACAAACATATGTTTATCATCTGTGAGTGTCTGTTTTTGTACTCTGGGTGAAGAATCAGGGGTGTTCACTGTTCTATTCCTTCAAATTTTCTGCAGAATTAAAGCTTATAAAATAAAAAGTAGGTAAAAAGATATACAAAAATATTTGTCTCAAGAGTCATAAAGCAAAAGAATGGCTTTGCTATCAGCCAGATTAGAATTGTATTTTTGGATAAGAGGAAACAGTAATAATAAAAATAATGAGTGTGTTAAGATAATGGGACTATTTTTTTCTTTTGCTTATAATATTTTAAAAATCAATAATGGTTGCAACAGATGACAGATTTTGCACTGGTATAAATTAAGTCACTTGTCAATCACTACAGTTGTTTTCTTCCTTTTAAGGATAATGCCTATTATTCCAATCTCAAATTGGAATCCAGTATGAAATACATTTCATGATTCTTTCTCAGTTTACTTTACACTTTACCTGGGCTTTAGATCTGATTTCCAGGGAAGCCACAGAACCACTACCAGCTCTGTTGTCAGAGACAGTGACTGCACCTGCCCCTCTGTCCTGCCACTGAGACCCCACGAACACAGGACTTACTTTTCAGACACCTGATTCGGAGGCGTGTGGCAGTCAGGCATGCAGGCCAAGGCTGCATCGTCGCTGCTGGAAATGGCCCATTGTTGCCCAGTAGAAGGTGATACCACAGTGCCTGAGAACTCTGGAAAAGACAATGAGAATCAAAGAGAATGTTCACACTTCGTGGTAAGTGAGAATTAACAATTTAAGTTTTAGGAATGAATGTCTTATATTTTAAAAATTAAATATTAGTATTTCAAATTTTAAAAGGATTTTAAATATTTAACATGCATCTGAAATTGGCTGGTGAATCCTGCACCCCTGAATCCCACTCCCAACACATGATCCCACCCTTTGATTTTTACATGAATGTCCCATCAGGAGACAGATGAGGATCAAAATGGGAAAAGTCTCATCGGTGCAGACTTAACAGATGTGAGGGTGGGCTCAGAGGCCCTAGAAGCTGATGTGCCAGGGGAGTGGACTATGCTTCTCTGGGGGCCTCAAGAACTGAACTCTGACTTCTGAGATTCTGGGAGAGAAGTTCTGGGGGTGTGATCTGTCGGGAACCTCAAAGTGAGGGGGCGGTTCGTATTCCACACGGTGGAACCAGGTGCACCCCATCTGAACTGGGCATCCCCCAGGTCAGCAGATGCTGTACATTTTTATCTTTTTGGTGATTTATTTTATCTAATACCTTATGAGTAAAATTTAATTTTTGCTCAGTTTGAGTATCTGTCTTTTAATCAGGGAACTTAACCCATTCTTCTCCTTTGGCAGTGTACGGGAGCAGGAGGGGGTGATTGGTATATTTGGCCCTTTTGCCGTTATCTTATTTCACCTTTTTTACTTCTCAAGTTTCCTCATTTACTGGCTTTAACTGACTTGATTGTTCTTAGTTTTTCTCTAATGTTTTAGAAATTACACGTCTTATTTTTCTTCTAGTGTTTCTTTACATTGATAGCATGCATATGCATGTTTATTTTTTCTATCTAAACTGAGTATTAAATAACATATACAACCCCTAATTTCCACGTAGGATAAAGCCCTCAGTTCAATCTAATTCCAATCTCTTCCTTGGCTACCTGCTATATTTTGTTGAAATCATTTAAAATGTTGATTCAAAACTGCTTTCAATTTTTGTGTTTCTAATTTCTTGGGAATCATAATTCTTAACAACTGCTTTAAGCTTCATTGCTATATTATTACTTATAACATGACTGTGTTTTAGTGTTTGCTAGTTGATCATGAATAATCTGCATACATCTCATTGCTCCTTTATTAATTTTTAATTTTACTAGAAGGCTTGAGTAGTTCTTTCAAAATGATTTTGTAGGAAATAAAGTTACTGAGTTCTTGAACAGAAATAGGAAAATACCAGATGCAAAAGAATAGAATCAATAGCCAAGACAATCTTGAAAAAGAAGAACAAAGTTGGAGGTCTCACACATCCTGATTTCAAACGTACTATGAATTTATGGTAATCAAAGCGTGTGGTGTGACCATAAAGACACAGTAATAGTTCAGGGAGACCAGAAATAAATCCTCCGATATATGGTTAAATCATTTTCCACAAGGGTGCCACATATGGCCTCGCAAAAATGGCCAGTGGTTTTCCACAAGACACTCCATATGGAAAGGACAATCTTTTCAATAAATGGTGCTGGGAAAACAGCATATCCACATGCAAAATAATGAAGTTAGACTCTTACCTAATGTTGCATGCAAAAATTAACTAAAAATGGATCAAAGGCCTAAATGTAAGAGTTAAACATATAAAACTCATAGAGGAAAATACTGGGAAAAGCTTAATGACACTGGATTGGACAGTTATTTCTTGGGTATGACACCAACAAAAGAACAGGCAACCAAAAAAAAGAGATAAATTGGACCTCGTCAAAATTAAAAGGTACTAACAACAAAGTGAAAAGGCAACCAACGGAATGACAGAAAATATTTGCAAGTCATATATTTGATAAGGGACTAACATCATAACATATACAGAACCACTGCAACTCAACAAGAAGAAGATAACCTGAAAAATGGAAAGACATCCCATGCTCATGGATTAGAATAATTAATATTGTTAAAATATCTATATTAACCAAAGTGCTCTACAGATTCAATGCAGTTCCTGTCAAAATACCAATGACATTCTTCACAGAAATAGAAAAAAACCCCTGAAATTCATATAAAACCACAAGAGACCTTGAATAGCTAAAGTGATCCTTGGCAAAAAGAACAAAGCTAAAGGCATCACACTACCTAATTTCAAATAATACTACCAATTTATAGTAACCAAAAGAGGATGGTACTGGCATAAAAACAGACACATCAATCAATGGAACAGAACAGAGAACCTGCAAATAAAACCATACACTTACAGCCAACTCAGCTTCAACAAAGGTGGCAAGAACACACAGTGTGGAAAGGACAGTCTCTTTAATAAACAATGCTGGGAAAACTGAATATCCACATGCAGCAGAATGAAAGTAGATCCTCATCTTTCATTACATAATGAAATCAACTCAAAATGGATTAAAGACTTAAATTTAAGACCTAAATTATGAAACTACCCAAAGAAAACATCGGGGAAACACCTCAGGACATCGGTTTGGGCAAATATTTTTTTCATAAGACCTCAAAAAGGCAACAATAGACAAATGGGACTATATCAAGGTAAAAAGCTTCTGCACAGCAAGGGAAACAATTCACTTAGTGAACAGACAACCTACAGAAAGGGAGAAAGTATCAGCAAACTTCTGTCTGACAAGGGATTAATAACCAGATTATGTAAGGAGCTCAAACAACTCAATAGCAAAAAAACAAATGATCTGATTAGAATATCGGCCAATGACCTGAATAGAGTTTCTCAAAAGAAGACAGACGAACAGGCAACAGGCATATAAAAAAAAACTCAGTATCACTAATCACCAGGGAAGTGCAAATTAAAACCACAGTGAGATATCATCTCACTCTAGTTAGAATGGCTATTATAAAAAAGACAAAAAAAAAAAAAGATGCTGATGAGGATGTGGAGAAAGGGGAATGTAAATTAGAAATACCATTATGGAAAACAATATGGAAGTTCCTCAGAAAACTAAAAATAGAAAGACCACAAATTCAGGAATCCCACTGCTGAGTATACATTCAAAAGAAAGGAAATCAGGCCAGTGGGGAGGCTCATGCCTTAATCCCAGCACTTCGGGAGACTGAGGTGGGTGGATCACAAGGTCAGGAGTTCGACAACAGCCTGGCGAAGATGGTGAAACCCTGTCTCTATTAAAAATACAAAAATTAGTCCAGTGCACTGGCGGGTGCCTGTAATTCCAGCTACTTGGGAGGCTGAGGCAGGAGAATCACTTGAACTTGGGAGGCGGAGGTTGCAGTGAGAAGAGGTCGTGCCACTGCACTCTAGACTGGGAGACAGAGCAAGACTCTGTCTAAGAAAGAAAGGAAATCAATATATTGAAGAGATGTCTCACTCCCATGTTTGTTGTAGCACTGTCTGCAATAGCCGAAATAGGGATCAACCTGAATGGAAGAATGAATGAAGTGTGGAATCCATGCACAACGGAATATTACTCAACCATAAAAAGAATGGAATCTTGTCATCTGCAGCATCATGGATGGAACTGGATGTCATTATGTTAAGTAAAATAAGTCAGGCACAAAGACAAATATTGCATGTTCTTACTCAAATGTGGGAGCAAAAAAAGTGGGTCTCACAGAGGTAGAGAGTAGAATAGTGTTTAGCAGAGGCTGGGAAGGCAGGCGGGGAGGAAGAGAAGTTGACTAATGGGTACCAACGTGCAGTTGGGTAGAAGAAACACATTCTTGTATTTGATAACGTAGCAGGAAAATTATAGTTAACAATAAACTATTTCCTGTGTCCCTT